GTGCATTTCATCCCCATAAACCCCACCATTTCTCCTCTTCATTAAACCCTTTTTCTTCCCATAAGCTGGAAACCCTTTTATAGGCTAAATCACATGCTGGGCTAAGTACCTACCACAATGTCATGGTCAAAATATGTTTAATTCCAGATGATCCTGTATTTTTCTCATGGTAGGAAAGGAATTGTTGAAATTTTACTACACGAATCTCTTTGTTGCTCACTGGAAACCATCAGAAACCTATTTCTTTTATGAAAGAGATTGTGTCAGAATTGTCTGTTAATAAGGTGTCACCCTCCCTCCATTTGGCCTGAATTAGAGTGAATTCCAAGGCCTGAAAGTTTGATGCTAAGAGGCATAAAAGAGACATACAAATGATATCATTTTGTGGACAGGACCTGAAGCAGATCAGGAAGCATATGTAGTAAATGAAGTTAAGCAAAGGCTGCTTTTCCTTCTTGTGTTGTCTTTACATTCATCAGAGGCCGGGTAATTCAGACTCAGTTCTTATGTAATAGAGGCCAACAATAGCCTAGAGAGATTATTACATAGAGATGGGTAGCTGACACCCCCTTTTGTTTTCTTCTGAAAGGTATAACCACTTTTCTAAAGGCTACAGCATTTTCCACAAAATAGTTTTAATTTGTGCCACGGGTTGAACACTTACTGTGTTCCAGGCCCAGCTAAGTGTTGGTGACCAGCCATGGACAGTGGGTCATGGTCCCTTACTCCATAGTGTGTGAGTCCTAACTGGGCCAAATGTAGAGTTTGTGTGCTTTTTTAAATATATTTTTATTGATTTCAGAAAGGAAGGGAGAGGGAGAGGGAGAGAGAGAGAGAAACATCAATGATGAAAGAAAATCATTGATTGGATGTCTCCTGCATGCCCCCTACTGGGGATCAAGCCCTCAACCCAGGTATGTGCCCTTGACTGGAATCAAAGCTGATGCTCTGTCTACTGAGTCAAGCCAGCTGGGCAAGTTTTTGTTTTGTTTTTCTTAATCAATTATGAAGTTATCTAGTATTAGTGTCTCAAAGCAATGGCAAGTCATGAAAATCCCCATGAGTAGGTTAGAGTGAGTTTAATAAATGACACCTCCCATTTTTTAGCATATCCCTAAACATGTCCTGCCTCATTAACAGTTAAAGAAGCCTCATGTGTGCACGGAGCTTTCTTTCCCTGATAGCAGGCAGGTGCTGCGGCCAGCCCCTTGTTAAACATACATTGCCTTGGAAATGTACCTTGTGCCTGTCACCATAGCAACACCCTGAGAATGACCTCAGCAGCCACTCAAAATCATTTCTACAAAACAAATTATAGCTATAATTATCTTTCTGAATTTACTCTACACTATAAATTTGCTCAGACCTTGGTGTTTCTTTGTAAAAGGTTAAATGAATGGAATAATTCAGTGGGAACCCATCCACCCAATAGTCACCAACAGTTTTCCATGGAAAGCACAATTCGGTTAAGAGATTATTCCATTGCCTTTTCTCACAATGTGACCAGAATCAACAGATGAGGATACTCTGGTTTTATCATGGCAGAGCTCCATTTGTAAGGGAATAGAGTGGCCTTCTTCCCTACGCAGATGTAAACTGCTTAGAGTGCTGGGGTCCCCCTCTCCATGTTCTGTAAGCCAGAGGGAGGGACACAGGGGCTGGGACTTCCACAGGCAGAAGCTCTCTTTGGCAGTAAAATGCTGGTCTTTGTTGCCTGCAGGCTTAACCTGCTTCACAAATCATCTGCAACATGTCTTCAATGCCGGTGCAGCCTCTGAGCTGCCCAGACCTTCCCCTAGGAGAAAGTAGTATGTTTATTTTGGTTGGAGAGTTTGTTGTTTTGTTTTATTTTGTTTTGCTTGCCTTGTTTTGGGAGGTATGGGTTTGGTTTGGTTTTGGTTTTAGATAATGTGTGTTAAAACTAGCCGGCCTTGATATAGTTCCTTTCCATTTTTGTAGTTAAACTAGAATAACTTTCTTACCCCAAGTGAAGTGAGCCTTTCTGTCCACCATCCCACTGAGGCAAAGCAAAAAGAATATCAGGCAAGAACTGCAGCTTATTTCCAAGGGAATCGGAAATGCATGGAACATCGTTAATGGCCGTTTATGTGCCATAAAATGTGTTCCTATCTGGGCAAGGAACAGATGGAACAGAGCCTGGCAGGCAGCAAGCACTCAGTAGTTCATTGTGGTTATCCTGTCGTTACTCTCCATTAACTATACTGGCATTGAAAAGAAGCATAAGAAAGGTGAAGAGAAAAAAATACTGTAAGAACAAGATGTTTTAGATACTCAGCTGATGTCTCTGTAATGCCCAGTTCAGTATTTTTAGGGCAGCCTCTACATCCTTGTAAGTGGTTTTTCTATCGCAGGTGTATGCCCCAATTTTATCTTACCTAAACATGTTTTTCAGGGAGCTCAGTTCACTCCTCTAAATTGTAGAGAGACCAGCCGGGTTCCTACTGTGCAGAGTGGCAGGTATTTTCCCATTGCACGTGCTGGTTCTTTAAATTCTTCTGTGCAAATAATGTGTTTAAACATGGAATGGTTCATCTTTCAGAACAGAGAGCCAAGAATTCTTCTTCACCACAGGAACTCGACAGCACTTTATGTGCAAGAATTAGCCACCCTCTGTTCTGACCTCTGCTTATTGGGTGAAGTGAGTAGAAATGGTTTATTGGGCAGCATATTTCTGAGCAAGCTTGCCAATGTAAGTGAGAAGTTCTCTGATTTCTCTAAATTAAAATTCTGAATATAGAAGTTAAACAAATGTTGATCTTGTAGGTTTCAAAATGTACATTCATTTCAAGTTTTTCAAATCAAGGAGCTGATAAGTCAGGAAAATCTATCTACATAGAGTAGCCAGTTGGTTTTGCATTAATGTGTAGTAAGCTAGTTTATCTACAGAATGAGATACAGAACAACTCTTAGAACATGGGTTTGTTAACCCCATTGTATGATTCCAAGACTGTGCATGGAGACGGACTCAAACTTTTGGCCCAGTACACATTTATATTTTCTTCCTGACTCTTATGTTCTTCCAGCCTCTCCCCCTTTTTGTCCTCTAGCCAATTTTTTTTATAAAACAATTAAAGATACCAGGCTGGTTCTGATCATTCTGTAGAGAGTTAATTGCCAGCTAGAGAATCATTGATGTTTTGGGATAAGGCCACCAAAATTATAATTAGTTGCTTTGGTGAAGGAATTCCTAGGCTGACACATTTTTGTCTTAAGGATTGATAGACCTCTAAAAAGGCGGTGATTTTATTTCTTTGTTAAAGTAAGACTTAACTCCACTATTTTATGACTCCATGAATCTTAGAGACTTAATATAATTTTTTTTCAACACCTAATTTCATATTTAATAATATCATAGAGATGGAAACACCATTAGTATGAATGGTATTTAAACAGTGCTGAAAGGAAACCCATCCAATCATCCAAACAAAAAATACTAATTAAGTGCTATTTGCCAGGCACTCTTTTAGGTACTAAGGCAGGAATAACAATGGATTGGACAACCTCCTTACGTCAGATCAACAGAGTGTTTGTGCTCACTGAGCTATAACATGCTCTGCACCAGACAGTCCCTGTCATACATCTCATATCTCACTGCCTCTTACTTGTGGCATGAAGATATTGCAGCTCTAGTCCCTTTCAGTTCTATGAAGGGCTCCATCTTTTCTTTAAGTCTTAGTCATAGTTCATTACTTTGTGTCTACACTTAGTAATTGTGTTCTGAAACCATATCCAGATTGTGACTCTTTGAAGTCATGAAGCTGCCACACAGAACAGTCACGTTCACCTGTCATCAATTATATCAAATTATGTCATTCTCAAGGTTGGAGATTAATTTTTGCACTTTGAGAGAATGAAAAGTGAACGGAATATAATATTTTTTAAATGCCAAAGTTATACTGATGGAAAACATAGATGTTGCTAGGCTTTAGGGTTGGGATGGGAGCACAGGGCAGTTTCTTTGTGGTAACAGAACAATTTTGTATCTTGATTGTGGTGGTGACTGCACGAATCTCTACATGTGATAAAATTTCATGCAACTATATGTCCCCCCAAATGTGTGTGTGTGTGTGTGTGTGTGTGTGTGTGTGTGTGTGTAAAACTGGTGAAATCTAAACAAGGTCTGTAGTATATATAGCTAATAGTACTGTATCAATTCAGTTTCCTAGTTTTGATAATGTATTATGGTTACTAAGTTTTTACCATTGGGGGCAGTTAGGGGAGGGTGTAAGGGATTTCTCTGTAATATTTTTGCAATGTCTTATGAGTCTAAAATTATTTCAAAAATATATGGTTTTTTTTTTCCTCCAAAAGGAATAGAAAAATATAAGCTGATAAATTTAAAGTTTAGGTTTGGTGACACTAAACACTGGGAATACCTGACCTTAGGCAGTGTTACCTCAATAACTATTGATAGAAACCTCGTGGCTTTACTTTAATCACGAATGATTTAGACTTTGGACAGAAGTTTGGATAAGGTATTTTGTGTCCTCTTTTAAGGCATTAAGGAAATACATTCTAGGAAGAACCTCTCATGTTCTGCAAAAGTAAAAAAAAAAAAAATGCATTCTGACCTTAAATGTAACTCTTATCTGTTTATTTATACAAACATCATTTGTATAAATAATTTTAAAACTATTTGCTTTAAACTCCCATTTCACCCACCAGACCTGCTAAACAAGTAGAGAATAGGAGACTCGTTTATTTTCTTCTCTCCCTTTACTCTTGGTTGGGTTCTAATTGATTGTATGAGAAGCAAAGAGCAACACAGTGAACCAGTTAATCCCTAGAGAGGTAATCTTGCTCTGACCAATGGAAGGTTGAGTTTAATCTTTTGAGCTCCCTAATTCTCTACCACTTCCTGCGATTTTTCTTTCTATTCTCCACTTCGCTCTTATGACTCATTTTTGTCCTTCTCTTTCCATAGGCAGGTGTGGTGTGATGGCATCACTGACGTTCTCATTGTGTCTTCCCTCCTCTAGCTATCTTAATGACTTGGACCGTGTTGCCGACCCTGCCTACCTGCCTACGCAACAAGATGTGCTTAGAGTTCGAGTCCCCACCACAGGGATCATCGAATACCCCTTTGACTTACAAAGTGTCATTTTCAGGTAGTTACTGAGTCCATACAACCCACTTCTGAACTGTTACGCTTTGACTACACGTGGTGAACGCTGTAACTTTGAAATCAGATGTATGTTTTAAAACAGTATCATCCTTGTACCAATTATTATCATTAGATCCACAAAATGAAACCATGTGTCCCTGAAAGAGGAAGCAGAGGAAAGATATGTAGGAAGGTTTCTCATTTCAGATTAAATTATCAGGAAATCAATGAATGAAATCTTGGTTTGCTGAAGGTTGAACAAAATCAGTTCATCAAACGTTAGTCCTGATTATAATTTTGGGGGGGATTCATTTAATCTATAAGGACAATGGATGTATTTTTAGATTTGTCATTAGATCTGAATAATCTTATGACCCCAAAGTAATAGAACTTACATGTTGGCAGAAGTTCTTTCAGGTCATTGTTTCCTCCAAGCCCCCTGGTGCCAATGCAGAGTTCCTCAGCAGCAATAAAACACTGGGATGCTTTATATTCCTAAGATACGTGGCTTGAAAATTTTCAAACACATGATTTTGAATATGGATTGAGTAACCTAGTCTAAATTTACGTAAGAAAATAGAGTGAAAATTTATTACTTCCTCCTTCACAGCTGCTGTTCTGAGTAATACTTTAGCATAGGTATTATCTTTTTTTAAGATGAGGAAAAAAAGTAAACAATACTGATTACTTTCACTCAATCTTTTACTCCATCATCACTCAGTTGTACTGTTAGTTAGAATACAAACCACAGGGGGAGAAATGAAGGCGTGTTGAGTGTCTCTTTGAGTGTAGAGTGTTGAGTTCCTTGTCACAGCCCATCCCATTGAGGAATACTGCACGCAATGCAGGGCTGTGAAGTCGAAGTGTGTGATTCTTGCTGTGTAACTCTACCACAGACTCTAATGAGTCCCTGCCAAAGCCCTGTGTGTTTTATTCATATCAGTCCCTCACCTGTGGTTGCATCTAGCTCCCATACTCTGCTCTAGTAGACAGATCCCAAAGTGGGAGACATGTTGGAAATGATTCTGAGCCTCAGGTTTTTTTTCATCTATATAACAATTGCATTAAATATCACCAAGGTTCCTTACAGTTTCAACATTGTGGATTACTTAAATTTTTGAGTTGTGTTTGTATTTAGCTGAAGCATCAAACACAACCTATTTTGATTTGTATAGTATCTTCCATCTTCTCAATGTATTTGCAATTATTTTTGGCATCTTTGAGAAATATATGAGGATCTTCATTCTCATTTTATAGGAAGATAAACTGAAGTCAATATTTGCCATTAGAGCTTAATACAAATAAAACTTATTTTATATATTCCATAGCTTGATTAAATAAAACCATTTTGCTTGGCTTGGCTCAGGATTATTTTTACAAAGTTATAATTTTCATGCACCTCTGGTAACATTCTGCTAACCACAATGATTTATTGCTCAGAATGGCTTGATTTTGGTTGTTAGGTAACAAAAAATTAGTAGCTGTTCAATAAGTATCAACTGAATTGAGTTGGATGACTATTCTCTTTAGAGAGTATGTTTCCTACGTTTTGTAAGTAAAACTTTTATATTGATTTTTTTTCTTTATATGCTATTAATATGGATATTGTTAATCTTGCAGAATGGTCGATGTAGGGGGCCAAAGGTCAGAGAGAAGAAAATGGATACACTGCTTTGAAAATGTCACCTCTATCATGTTTCTAGTAGCGCTTAGTGAATATGATCAAGTTCTCGTGGAATCCGACAATGAGGTGAGTGCCCGTGCACAGGCAGTGGGTGGTCATTTTATTATTTGATGCAAATAAATGATCGGATGTTGGGCGTGAGACATGGAGTAAACTGACTTCATTGCTTTCTTGACTATTGACTTGGGAATTTTAAAAATAAAATGGTACACAGTACACTCAGAAAGGTAAGCTCTTTTGTCCGATGTTTGAACAGGTCTGTGTGTTCAGCTCTCATTAGATGCAATTTTATACTTTTCACACTATGCAGAGGCTCTGAAAATGAAAATAACACAGAAATCTTAGCTAGTCATCAGATCGTATTGTAGCCTTCTCCCTGCAGAGGCTGGAGTCGGGAGTGTGGGAGTGAGTCAGCCTGTTTGGTTTTGTTTTCATTTTGTCTAAATCATTGTTTGTGTGGTGGGTGGGTCCCAAAGAGTACTTAAAGCTCAAAACCCCTCTTGGCAAGTGTGAGTGGCTTTGCAGCTGGTCTCTAAATCAGTCCCTTATGGAGCCAGGAGATATCTTGGTGATGTGGCCTTTCTGCTCTTAGAGCATAATTTTGTCTCTTCTATGCAGGGAGTGATTGAAAAAGTGCCCTTGGTATGCCTGTCTGGAGATATATGATTCAGTAATCTAAGTTCCTCCCCATTACATGAAAATGTAACAGGTTATAAATATGGATTTTGAGGATATCAAAGGATGAGTCAGAGTTGAGTATAGAATATAATTAAAGGGCATAGTAAACTGACTTTGAGGTGGAATTCAGTATGTGTGTTGGAGGAATGGAGAAGGTGCCATTGGAACACCCTGCTAGAGGCAAAGACTGCAGACTTACACACCAATAGTAAGTATTAAATATATTTGTAATAGAGTAGCAAGTAACGAGAAGAAAGTGAGCTATCTCCAATAGCTGATTAAAATAAGGTCTGGCATATTAAAATATACTTTTAATGTTGTACATCTGTTAGGTATTCAAGAATCTTGCTTCGTGGTCCTTTTAAGAATTTTACTTTTCTGTGAGTGCTAATATCTTCATTAATAGACACATCTAATCCTCCATAGCATTTCTTTTGTATGTATTGATAAAGAATTCATGAACAATTATTTCATATAGAGCTGAGAGTTACCTATTCATGCATTTCAGAATCTTTCTTGGGTGCAAGTATATAGGCTTTTGAATTAATCAGAACTTATTTTTAAGAATAAAGTTTATTAGACGTTTGCCTTCTGTAGCTATAATGCAGAGTACCTGAAAATGTTATCAACATTTAAGTTCATCAATTGCGGTCAGAATTTTAGCTATAATATCTCTATACAATAGTACCCCTCCCCTATCCGAGGTTTTGCTTTCTGTGATTTCAGTTACTTGCAGTTAGTTGTGATTCAAAGATATCAGATAGAAAAATCAGAAATAACTCAGTAAACAATTTATAAGTTATTAATCATGCACCATTCTGAGTGGCTTGATGAAATCTTGCACTGTCCCCACCCAGAATATGACTCACCTTTTTGTCCAGTATATCCGTGCTATAGATGTTCCCCACCCCTTAGTCACCCAGTTGTCAGACTGACTATCAAAGTATTGCAGTATTTGTGTTGAAGTAACCCCTGTTTTACTTAATAATGATCCCAAAGTACAAGAGGAGTGATGCGGGTAGTTCATATATGCCAGAGAGAAGCAATACAGTCTTTTTTTATAAGTGAAAAGATGAAAGTTTCCTACTTAATAAGTTTCCACATTCTCATGACTTTTATTACAGTACTAGAGGCCCAGTGCACAAAATTTGTGCATGGGTAGGGTCCCTTGTGGCTGCTAGCCAGAAGCGCCTTCCTTCCCCCAGCCACTTGCTGCCACAGGCCCCAGCCCCTGGTGGAACTCCCAGTCAAGGGGACAATTTGCTTATTAGGCTTTTATTATATAGGATTGTTATAATTTTTCTATTTTATTTTTGGTTATTAATTTCTTACTATGCCTAATTATAAATTAAAATTTATCTTAGTATGTGTGTACAGGGAAAAAACATAGTGTATAAGGGTTTGGAACTATCCAGAGTTTCACACATCCACCTTGGAACATGCTTCCTGCAAATGGGGGGGTGGCAGACATGACTACTTGTATGCATTTCTATCTTTATCTATATTGGTGTTGGTTTATTGTATCATAATTCTTGGTTGTAGTATTTTGGAGGTACTACATATTTCAGAAGCTGACATATGACAACATTTCTGATGTCTTTAAATGTTGAATCAAGATAAAAAATATTTTGAGGGCTTGTTACTAAGTGCTGGGTCCCAGGAAATCTAAAGAGATATCAAAATGAAGAAAGAAAAAGTCAACTTTGTCCTAAAAGACCTCATAAATGAGATATTGCTTTTATAAGATGTAAGAAACATACATTATTTTATTTCTTAGTATGTCACTTGTTTACAAAATAACTAGAGGAAAATCTTGTTTATCAATACACATTATCCTATCTAATAAAAGAGTAATATTCAAATTGCCTGTACCTCCAGTACACCCACAAGCCGTGCCCACCAACCAATCAGGAGAGAGTATGCAAATTAACCCAGCCCAGATGGCTGTGGCCATGGAGCGAACAGGAGACTTGGGTTTCCCCAGCAATGGAGGAAGCCAAACTTCCTGCACACCCTAGCTGGCCCAGGCTCTACTTGAGGCTACAAAGTTTCAATTATAGAAGATAAATAAATCCCAGATACCAGGGCCTCCGCTTGGATTGCCGGGGGGCATGATTGGACTGCAAACTACCACAGGCCCCCTCGCCCAGGCCACCCCATGCCCCAAGGGAATCCCCACCCTGGTTGAGGACACCACTTTAGGGCAACTCCAGCTGGCCCTCACTAGTGCACCAGGCCTCTGTCCTAATAAAAGAGTAATATGCAGCTGAAACCAGTTTGGCTCAGCAGTAGAGTGTCAGTCTGCGCACTGAAAGGTCCTAGGTTCGATTCCAGTCAAGGGCATGTACATTGGTTGCGGGCACATCCCCGGTAAGGGGTGTGTAAGAGACAGCTAGTCGATGTTTCTCGCTCATGGGCTTTTCTAGCTCTCTATCTCTCTCCCTTCCTCTCCGTAGAAAATCAATAAAATATATTTTAAAAAAATAAAATAAAAGAGTAATATGCAAATTGACCATCGCTCCAACACACAAGATGGCTGCCCCCATGTGAACACAAGATGGGCCAGCTTTCTCTCCCCTCTTTCCCAACCTCTTCCAGAAATTACAGATAAACTCAGAGGAAAAGTGAGAGGAGCTATTGATGTGGCCAGCGGCATGGAAATAGAATGAAAATACTGCCCTTTGAAGAAGGGGTTGAGATACCTCTCCTCTGCCCCTAAATTCTTAATTATTATTCTCACAGGTCACAGTAGACTTCACTGGGAACTCAGAGTTCCAGTATTGCTCATCGGATTTTGAACTATCTTAAAACAAGTAGTCTAAATTATGCATTTCCCTTGGATATTTTGCCTCTACTTTGGTTTCAGAATGGAGCCAATTTTAAGTCATTCAACTGTGGCCAAAGTTTGAACATTTTCTTTAAACGTGTGAAACATGTACTTTGTTCTGCTCTAAAAACTCCAAGTGAGCTCTGAGAATTTTTTTTTTCCACATAAAATTCAGCTTTGAAGGTAAAACTGACTAGAAATTGAGGAGTAAAAGAAATTTGAACTCCAAAGGAAACTTTTAAGTGTCGTTAAAAGTAAGAGCTTAGGTTAAACTCTCCAGTCTCAATGAGACTGATTCTAACCCTCCTTTTTATTGACTCTTATTTAGATTATGAAATCAGAAACTACATCTTGCTTCTCAGCCTTTGGTATACTTGTCTCAGATTTGTGGCCTGATTAGCAAAGATATTCCTGAAAGACGCCCTACTTTTCTACATGTAACCCCTTTTCCATTTCCTCATTCCTTTGCTCATTTAGCCACTAGTTCCTGTTTGAAACTCCTTTCCTTGCCCTTTTCATTACTCACTGTTTCTCTTTCCTCCATATTTCACTCTTTCTCAATTTCTTTATTTGCATTGAAAGAAGCTAGAAGGAAGTTTTCTGATCCCCATTTATGAGTCTAAACTGGAGACAGTGCTGGAAAGGGGGTGGGGGGAGCAGGCACAAACACGGACACTTTTTGTGTGGATGTGTATTGGAAATCTTTTAAAGATTTTACCTTGAACCCATATTAATATAATCTGTGCAGTTCTTCTTTTTAAAAGATGAATTATACTTTGGCTGGTGTGGCTCAGTGATTGAATGTTGACCATAACCAAGAGGTCACAGCTGGATGGATGAAAGGACAGTAAGGGTTAGGGGGTGAGATTAAGAAGTGAAATACAAGTAACACAACCAGGTATCTTTCCTGTGGTAGTCCAAAATTTAATCAGTGTCTCTTAGCATCCAATAAAAGGAGATAATCGTGCTTTGTTACAAGATTCACTGTATTTTTTAAAAAACGTCAGTTTCTCCTGGTGCTGAGCTTGAATGACTCCTGCAACTTCATTAAGAGATGCTGTTAAAAATTATATTTATGACATAAAATTATATCCATGACGGTAGTACTCCAGGAAACCAAGTATTAGAATTCATAAGGGCTGTGTAAGCTTCCCTCAGTGTAAGTTGGTGCTATAATATCAGTATTTGTCTTGGGCCAATACTGTATGGCCTAACCACACCACCTGATGTAAGAATAAAACTGAGAATAGCTAGGGAAGTGGATTTTGTTTACTTCTGATTTTTTAAAAATATATATTTTATTATTGATTTCACAGAGGTAGGGAGAGGAAGAGAGAGAGAGAAACATCAATGATGAGAAAGCATCATTGAATGGCTGCCTCTTGTATGCCACACTCTGGGGATCGAGCCCACAACCCAGTTATGTGCCCTGACTGGCAATCGAACTGTGACCTCCTGGTTCACAGGTCGACGCTCAACCACTGAGCCACGTAAGCCAGGCTACTTCCGTTTTTATAAACAATTTTAGCGAAACAAAAAAAGTATAAAATTATGGAGAACT